GAGGAGAGAACTTTGGTTGTTCATAGTCATTCACCCCACTGGGCTTTGAGTCTGCCTGGAAAGAAATTCCATATGATGCCCACATATGGCTGGGAGAGGTGGAAGAATAAAGAACAACCCAATTCACCAGGCTGATCTCTCCAATCAAAACTCAGCACATTTGCAATCCCGGGATATCTGACCCTTACCCGATCTTGGAGTGCTTCAAGATCCAGAGCCAGCAAATGGCAGAGGATCATTGCACATCAGGGCCAGGGCTGGAAAGCAAATGCCAGCTGGGAAAATGCAGGAAAACCAGGGCTAGGGAAGGTACCTGTCTGTGCCATGGAGTAAAAGTCATCTTTTCCAATCAAAACAGACCAAAAGGTTCTTGCAAAGGCACGTGCTTACAAAGCCTGAGAAAGAATGAAACCTCTAAGGCAAACAAAATGACCACTTCTCACTGCTCCCAATTGTGTAACTCTGAAATAGTCTCAAAGTTTATCTGTGCTATAAACAACTTAGGAACCTTTTCCCCAGAGATATGGAAATGCCAACACTCGTGGAAAAAGGAAAAGCAGCATTGGGCTGCCCCCGACAAGGGGACATGCTAAAGGTTCTGGTGCCAAGTCCATCAGAAGAGTTTCCAGGGCAGTGCATTGTTGCCCACTCCCCAAGCCCTGGAAAAACCATGATTTCAAGCAAAAGCTGAACCCAGCTGAAAGCAGGTTCAATCATGAATTCAAAGTATAGGACATATCCCACTGTGGAATTTGTGTCAAATTTTTCTTATTTTTTTTAAATTGTGGTAAAATACACATCATGTACAATTTGCTATCTTAGCCATTTTATAGTGTGCATTTTAGTATTACTAACTATATTTTTATTTTTGTGCAATCTCCAGAACTTTTTCATCTTGCAAAAATGCAGCTTTACACCCATTAAACAACTTCTCATTTCCATGTCTGCTCAAGCTCTAGCAACCACCATTCTACTTCTTTCTGTGCATTGAACTACTTTAGACACCTCATATAAATAGAACAATTCAAGATCTGTCTTTTCATGACCAGCCATTTCATTTTGCATAATGTCCTCAAGGGTTATCCATGATGTTGCATGTAACAGGATTTCCTTCCTTTTTAAGGCTGAATAATATTCCATTGTATGTATATATCACATTTGTTTATTCATAAAATCTATTTCTGTATCTCAGGGATATGATTCTGTTGCTCTGGTGGTACACAAGTTATAGAGTTCAATTTGTAATGGTCACGATTTTATACAGAGAAAGAGACAGACAGATAGACAGACTTGATTGAATGATGTTTGTACTCCAGGAGAGGAAAAACAAGCTAACTAAAGCTGCAGCTGAGCTCAATTCCATCATCTAGAACCATCTCACTATCCCTCTTTACCCTAAAAATAAAAGTTTTGTTAACTGTATATTCCCAGGTCCTGGGAACAGGACTTAGCATACAGTTGACACTCAGTAAATATTTGTTGGCTGAGTGAATCTAGAAGAGTGATTGCTCAGAAAATGCTATATGCTTGATCTTGATTGATCCAGCTCATCTGAACATATGAGCCAAGAAAGGATCAATATGTATTGACATGGAAAGATGTCCAAGAACTATTTTTAAAGGAATCAGGTTGCATATCAATAAACAGTATAATTCCCTTTATGCAAAAGCAAATGCACAAATCAAAACAATAAATACATACATATATAATAATATACCTAAATAATATGCTACAAACCCAATGGTTTGATTACCTCTGGATTGAAGGGCAATGAGGACAAAGGATAGAAAGGGAATTTTCTGTTTGAATTTCTGTTTGTAGTGTTTTAATTATTTACCAAAAGAACTTATCTTTGTATTGTTAGTGGAACTTTTTTAAGGAAAAAAAATCTGGAAGGATAATATGTCATAAAATACATTGATTCATTCTCATGACATATAGCACAGGTAACTCTGCTCAATGTTATGTGGCAGCCTGGATGCAAGTGGAGTTTGGGGGAGAATGGATACATGTATATGTATGGCTGAGTCGCTTTGCTGTGCACCTGAAACTATCACAACATTGTTAATCAGCTATACTCCAATATAAAATTAAAAAAAATTTTTTTAAAGAATATGTTGATTCAGTTTACCTTACATGTACCCTTTCTCAGAGACCTACTGAAGAATGGGCTCCACCAAAACAATGGGAAATAATCAAGAAAGAAGAAGACATGGGATATAAGAAACAGGATCCAGCATAAGAGAGAGGCAAAGGGAATCTCCAAAATGATGGTAAAAAGAGAAGTAACAGCTGTGTATCCAACATCAAGGGCTACCATTCTGGACAGGCAAAGCAGGTCAAAGAGCAGTATTCAACAAGATAAAATTGACTGAAATAGCTGTTGCACTGGAAGATCTTGAGAGAAGATTTAGACAACTGGCAAAAAACCTGTGGTTAAATTAGTGAAAGCTCCATAGAAAATTCTGCAAACACACACAGAAAGACAGCTCTGGGGGAAACAATAGTAAGGAAGGGAAAGTAATCATGTAGTACATAATCCGGTTCTTAATAGTGGATAGGAAGGCATAGTAATGTTGACTGAACTAAATATTGACCTAAATAAAAATTATGAGTTAGCTATATTCTGAAGATAGATGGAAAGAACAGGAAGGATGCATGTGAGTGGTAGGTGAAGGAACTCAAAAGAAAGCTAAATACTCATATTCCACGCTGGAAAGACAGTACATGATGACTAAACCTGAAAAATCAAGAGGGAGCAATATAAGCATTATTTAGAGACCCAGAGAAGTACCAACTAGCCAGAAGAGATGAACATGACTGCTCTTTCTGAAAAGAAGAAAATGGTAGAGGTTCTGCTGTTTTTAGTAATGAACCTTATGGAATTATTTGTCTCAGAACTATGTGTATATACAACTTCAGTCAAACTAAGAAGTAAAAAAGAGAAAAATCACAACTGAGACCCACATCACAATACCTTCTAACCATGCTTTTTTTTTTTTTTTAAACAGGAAAATAGTTGCTGTGTAGATTTCTGATGTGACACAAAGAAATAACAGTTACAGGTAGGATGGCCACTTTCAGTTCCAATACTGGAAGATTCTACCAGAAGTGTGAAGAGAATCATTCTGAAAATGGTTGGGCTTTCCAGCCTATACGGAAAACCCATGATAAAAAACCCAGGGTGAAAGAAAAAGAGGCAAGACATATTTCAGGTCCAATATTTACCAAATGCTTGAGTTTTGGCATAGAAGTCCCGCCAAAAAAACTTAGCTACGATAGAGAATTGTAAATGGGCAAGATAAGACCAAAATTTGTGGCAAATCATCAATATTCTGCCTGGGTCTTTCCCTCTCCTCTGGGGTACAGTCAACTCAACATGTTATTCACACCCTTGTCTATTAAAGCAAGTCTAATACTTTCTGAGGGTACTAATCCCCAATTTTGGCCCCAAAAAGTAGGTTCCCGCTGGGTTCCATCTCAAATGATTTTCAACTCCCCAACCCCGTGGTGGTGGTGGTGAGGGATACCTAAGAAACAGTCAGATTCTCACCAAACCCAGGTGTCAGGCCAGAGTATCTAATGCTTTATCAGTTATGGAAGAATCCAAAGCAAATGAAACACCAAAATTTGTACATAGGGAGAAAGAAATTGAAGAACTCAATTCCCACATTGGTAGTTAATAATGAACCACCCTCCCCCTAGGAAAAAATGCTCAAAATCCTGTGTGTGATATCCATATTCTTAGTGTTTTAAAGCACTTGCCTGGGTTCCAATCCTAACTCCGTTCTTCTCCCTCAGCTTCATTTTCCTGTTAACCGGTGGGGTGGGAGTGGGTGGGTGGTAATACTTAGATCTCATAGGATTATTGCCTGGATGAAATAATAACAACCAAACTTTTGCAATCCACTAAATATATTACGCATTATTCTAAGCGCATTGCATATATAGCATCTCATTTAATGTTCAAATTATAACTATTACCCCAGTTTCCAGATGAGGAAGACAAAGCACAGAGGTTCAGTAACTTGCTCAAGATCGTAGCTAGCGGTGGAGCAAAGAGGCTAATTCAGGTGAACTGGCTCCAAAGAAAGTACCAACAACCGGACTATGCCGAAATGCAAGAAATAAAATGTGCACCATAAATGGTACTTATTCACACACCACGTGTGCCAGTCCAAAAAATAGGTTAAGTGACAGGCAGTTTGAGGCTTGGCAGCCTTGCAAGAGACCAAGGCATGACCAGGGCCTCCACTCCTCTCCCTAACTCCCCAAGCTCCCGAGAACTTCCCATCGCGCTTGGGACTCAGGGCTTCGAGGCTGCGAGTCCTGGTAGCTGGAAGTAGAGGGTGGAGCGGAGGCGGGGGAGGCCGGGGGTAGTGGGGGAAGGTGGTTGGGACGCCGGCGTTTACCTTGACCTGCACTCTCATCGCTCCGGGAGTCCGGGGCGCTGCGCGCCGGGACGCGCAGAGGCGCAAATAGCGGCCTGGCACTTCTGCCGCCGCCACCGAGAGCCGCGACGACGTCCCGTCCCCTAGGTCTCCGCCGCCCAGATGTGGCCCTCTGCTCCGGACCGAGCCTTCTCTCCTACCCGCAGCCGACTCACGCCACGTCCGGTCTCTTCCGCCACCGACCCAGAGCGGAACCACAGAGCTGCCTCCTCTCCCGGGACGCGTCCCCACCGCCCTAAGCAGAATCCCCCGCCCCGTTAGGTTTCCGCTCGGATACCACCTCCGCGCTGGCCCCATTCCAGCTCCGGCAACCGGGCTGTGGGGCGTGCCCTTAAGTAAGTGTCCTACGGTAGCCGAACCCTCAGATATGTTAATCAGACCCGCGTGGAGACCACAGGACTTGAGCGCAGGTATTTCGTAAATCCCAGCTATGCCAGATCCTAGTTAGATATCTTGTGGCTGGCCCCACCTAAAGCACCCAGGGCCCTGGGCTCAGATCCGGTAAACCGCCTAAGGCGCTTTGCCCCGCCGGCTGGTAGCCCACCATACCTGTAAGCGCTCCTCCGCAGAGCGAGCTGTCATCCTGGACTTGCAGGCCCGCCGCCAAAGCCTTGTCTGAGCTTCTGACTTATGGAGTCAGATTGGGGCTCCACCTCCGCACGCTGCCTTTTACAGCCCTACAGATTTGTCTTTTGGCCTCAGTTACCTCCCGTGTAGAAAGGAGGTGATTGCGACCTTACCTGGATCAAAGAGTAGAGGAAGGGTCAAATGCGATTTTCATCATCATCATCACACCTGTATTTAATTGTACTGTTATTGTTGAGTCAGTGTGGTGCGGGGAGGACACAGGAGGTTTAACCTAACAACCAGCAGTTTACTAACTGGGAGTTACTGGGTGTTAGGTGACCTCTCTGGGCCTGGGTTTATCTACACAGCGGGAAGGATAGCAAACAAATCCCCTTTCCTCAGAGGCTATACTGAAATCCATAAAATACAATCAAAAGCTTTGTGATTTCTGTTATTTTCGGTGGGCTGCTCTGGCTAGTCGGTCTTGATTAAGGCTGTGGTCAGTTACTACAGGTGAATCCCAGTATGCTGGCAGAGGTGATGCTCACTTATTACAAGTGTTGTAATTAACAATGCTAGCCATTCGTCCCTGATTTCAAATTAGGACCACCTGTCCTTTTAGTCCATTCTGGACTTCTGCCCAGTGAGCTCACATTTGCTGACACTTTTTTCAGCCTGATTTCTTTATGTGGTTTTCATTTTTCTTTGTTAGAAAACTTGAACATCTCATATATGTATTAACATTTTGTTGTTGTTTGTTTTTCTATTAATCCATTGAATCTCATTCTCCTTGACCCAGCTCCCTCAAAATGTTAATGATCTGTGAGCAGTTAACAGATTCAGAAGCCCCCCTAAGGCAAGTAAGCACCTCTTGATTGGTGTTTCTCCATACATCTCCCCTGTTAGGTCTGTCACAGCACTAGAGACTGGGAACTCTCAGAAATCTGCAGACCCACCAAGAAGACTAGACGTTTGGAACTCAAGATTCTTAGGAGTGTTGGTGCACTGTAATTACCATCTTCCAGTTTAAACTCTTTGGTAAATTTACATGTTAGGATGGTCACATATTCTTTTCAGATCAAGCTTCAAGGCAGAGAGTCTAAAATATCAGGACAATTCCAGGGCTTAAGGTATCTGGTGTGCTAGTTTGCAAGCTGCCTTTGGTTCCCAGGCTGTATCAGAAACACCTGAGGCATTTGTTAAACGTGCAGATTCCCTAGCCGCCCCCACCCCACCTAGACCATCTGTATCAGAATGTCTGGGGTGGGGCCCAGGAATCTGTATCTTTCACAGGCGTCTCACACAACTTGAAAGCTTGCGTAAAAAAATCTCCTGGCCATAAATATACCTTTGCCAAGCGGCTAGCAATGAAATTTAAATTTTAGGGTGTTCATTAGTAGTCTAGTGTGGTTTAATTCAAGTCAACAAATATTTCCTGAACACAGACTGTTTGTCAGGCATCCTGCTGGGTGCTGGGAAAACAAAGATGAATACGGCATTGTCCAGTCTGCAAGGAGTTCGAGTTTATAGAGGGAGGAGGGACAATCAAAAGTGAAACTGTACCTGGGGCACCATTGGTAAGACTCATCAACATAAACAGAAATTCTCACTTGTTTGCCCTCCCTGATCCCTTTCTCCCTCTTCCCATTCTTTTCTCCTATGTTTTCTTCTTTATCAGATCTTCATTTTTTACCCTGAACATTGTAAATGTTTTATTCCTGATCTAACGTGGTTTTAAGACACTACTCTAAAGTTATTTTAAAGTCAACCTAATGATTTCAAAATGGAGGGAAACAGCTGATTTTTCAGCAGAGAAAAATGGGTATGAGAACATTTTTTTTATATGTGAAGATCTTTTTTGTTTGCTTTTGGTTTTTGCTGTGTTGCATGGCTTGCAGGGTCTTAGTTCCCCGACCAGGGATTGAACCCATGCCCTCACAGTGAAAGCACATAGTCTTAACCACTGTACCAGCAGGTAATTCCCTATATGTGAACATCTTGATGAGTCCCAGTTATCGGAGACTACTAAGGAATAGTTTCTAATATATGCACTCTTCTCCTAAAGAAAATCATTAGAAGCTTGGATTTGGTTTTGGTTCATTTTCATTTATTTGGATAGGGCTGAGGGTTGTTGGGGGAGTTGCACAGTAATACTTCCCAGCCTCTCTGGACAGCCCAGGGGGAGAAAACAGAGCAATAAATAACTATTTCTGGGACTTCCCTGGTGGTGCAGTGGTTAAGAATCCGCCTGCTAATGCAGAGGACATGGGTTCGAGCGCTGGTCCGGAAAGATCCCACATGCCGCAGAGCAACTAAGCCTGTGTGCCACAACTACTGAGCCTGCGCTCTAGAGCCTGCGTGCTACAGCTACTGAAGCCCCCGCACCTAGAGCCCGTGCTCCACAACAAGAGAAGCCATTGCAATGAGAATCCCATGCACCACAACAAAGAGTAGCCCCCACTCGCCGCACTCGCTGCAACTAGAGAAAGCCCACTTGCAGCAACGAAAACCCAATGCAGCCAAAAATAAATAAAATTAAAAAAAAGAAATTACTAACTGCATAAAAAAAAACAGAAAAAACAACTCTATTTCTTTGCACCAAGAAGAAAGAGTACCATGGGAAACTCTTGCCCAATGCATCATGGTATATTATTATCTCGTGTTCATGGTTTTCACTGTGGGTGGCCACCACAACTTTCAGAAGCATAAAGGAAACAAAATGAATGCAGTGGCATTCTAAAGTAGGTAATGGAAAGGATGATAAACCTAGAGGGCATTCCACAAGTGGGGGAAGTTTAAAGTTATGGGTTATTAATTTAAGATAAAGGTATACTGCCAGTAAGGAGGGATGAAATCCAGCCCTCCGATCCATTCCTGTGTGACTATTTCTGTTTTCAGACCTTCCCATTCAAACCCAAGGTATTGAGTTTGAATTCCATCCATTCATTCTCCTAAACTGCTACAAATCAAATTTCATTTTGAAAGGTAGCAATATATTTCCTTATGCCTACTGAATAAATGTTTTTCTAATTCAGTGCTTCTATGGGAGTATGCTCCCAATTTGCAATGAAAATGGATCATTTATCCTGTCACATAAGCAAAGATTAAAATACTCATGGGTTGGCAAGGGGAGAAATAGGAACCCTCAAATACTTTTGGTAAGAGTTTAAAATGATATCCTTTTTGAAGGCATTTTAGCCATCTGGATTCAAGGCATAACCTTTCCCATCACAATTCCAGTCCTAGAACTTCATACTTCAGAGATACACTAAGATATATATATATATAAGGATATACCTAGTAGCACCCTTTGTAATAAAGAAAGATTGCCAATAATCCAAACAGCCATTAATTAGCAGGTGCTTAAATAAATAAACTGTGGTGTGTGCATACCATAAAACACCATGCAGCTTTTAAAAGAATGAGTTAGATCTAAATGTACAGATATGGAAAAGGAAAATAGCAACTAGTAAAAGTAAGTATGATTCTATTTTTTTAAATTTATATGTGTAAGTTGGATTATTCACAGGAAAGTACTAGAAGAATATATGCCAAACTGTTAACAAGAGAAGACATACTTATACTAAAAAACTATTTGTTGCTTATCTGAAATTCAAATTTAACTGGGAGTTTTATCACACAAGATTGTTACACAAGCCTACACTGATGGCTTCAGGTAGCTATGGGTGCTGTTTGAAAGTGTGTATTACGAACATTGACACCGATCCTAGCCTCCTTTAGAACTGTGTCTTCACATGCAACTTTGAATGATTCTTAAAGAGAGGAAAGGAGGAAGATGAAGACTGACTGTAACAAAAATGCCAGGCACGCTGACAGATGGCATCATTTGAAGCTTCCTGAAAACAAGCACAGCAGATACTATAACTGGTTTACTGACCCTCTCATCCCAGCAGCATATCTCTTTGCAAGGTGATTTTGCAATAACCTCCCATGTAGAGGCCCAGTCTCTTCTTCACACCATTAATCTGAGCTGGACTTCTGGCCAGTAAAATGTGGCCAAAGTGAACATGGTTCAAGTTCCTGAGCATAGGACTCTAGTGGCCCTGCAGCTTCAGCCTTCACCCTGTTGTAACGCTGCCCTGAGAACACCATCCTGGAAGAAAGACCACTTGGAGAGACCAGCCAACCCTCAGAATCATGAGAAATAATGAACTGATGGTACTTTAAGCCACTAAATTTGGTGGTTACGTGTTGTGCTGCAATAGATAACTCAGTTTCTTTCCTCATTGTTTTCCTCATTTTTTCTGCACGAAATCTCTGTGAGGTTTCACTGAAGGTCAGAAATCTTCGTCGCGAATATCACCAGTCTCACAGCTACATGTAAAAGAATGAAATTAGAACACTCCCTAACACCATACACAAAAATAAACTCAAAATGGATTAAAGACCTAAATGTAAGGCCAGACCCTATAAAACTCTTAGAGGAAAACACAGGCAGAACACTCTATGACATACATCACAGCAAGATCCTTTTTGACCCACCTCCTAGAGAAATGGAAATAAAAACAAAAATAAACAAATGGGACCTAATGAAACTTAAAAGCTTTTGCACAGCAAAGAAACCATAAACAAGACGAAAAGACAACCCTCAGAATGGGAGAACATTTTTGCAAATGAAGCAACTGACAAAGGATTAATCTCCAAAATTTACAGGGAGCTCATGCAGCTCAAGATCAAAAAAACAAACCACTCAAGCCAAAAATGGGCAGAAGACCTAAATAGACATTTCTCCAGAGAAGATATACAGATTGCCAACAAGCACATGAAAAGATGCTCAACATCACTAATCACTAGAGAAATGCAAATCAGAACTACAATGAGGTATCACCTCACACCAGTCAGAATGGCCATCATCAAAAAATCTGCAAACAACAAATGCCAGAGAGGGTGTGGAGAAAAGGGAACCCTCTTGCACTGTTGGTGGGAATATAAATTGATACAGCCACTATGGAGAACAGTATGGAGTTTCCTTAAAAAGCTAAAAACAGAACTACCATATGACCCAGCAATCCCACTACTGGACACATACCCTGAGAAAACCATAATTCAAAAAGAGTCATGTAACACAATGTTCATAGCAGGTCTTTTTACAATAGCCAGGACATGGAAGCAACCTAAGTGTCCATCAACAGATGAATGGATAAAGAAGATG